AACTTAGAGAAAATAGTTTTCTAACATAGGTTACATAAAAGCAAAATTTGGAGACGACGATATTTTTAGAGATTTCTTTCAAAAACAACTTTTTTAAAAAAATTTTTGACAAAAAGTGGGCAAGTGCAGTTACCCTATTGTGCAGATCTCTGTTTACAACAACAAACACGTAGATCAAAACAAAGACCAAAACGGGAAATCTCCAAACCTGTTGAATAAATAAACAAACACATTATCGGAAATAACTATTACTAATAAGTAGTAATAAAGAAATAACCATTAGAAGTTAAAACAACTTAATAATAGGAATCTTCTAGAAAGATAGAACCTAAAATGGAAGAACTAGGAACATACAGGAATATATTTACCTATGTGGAAATTGAAGTATGGGATCAGCTAAAAGCTTTAGACAGGGAAGTAACGAATAAGAATAAAAATATAGCAAGGTGGCTTGGATTGAGTAACCAAAATGCAGTGTGTTTAATAAGGAAAGTCATTGAGACATATAAATGGATTGAATATAAAAAAGCAACCAAGCAAGAGATATGTGGAGAAGAAGAGGCTCTCATATCAGGCAAGGAGAAAGAGACCAACCTTACACGTAAAGATAAAGTCAAAAAAGTATTAAATGACACAGAGTGTGGAGTTCTAGATTACGGAATAGAAGAAATCCTAGCAAGGGTAGAAGACAGTAGTGTATCGGCGGAGCGAAAATTGAATGAAAAAGTTCCTAAAGAAAATGATGAAAAAGTTATAAAGCAAAGAGAAAATAAGATGGAAATAGACTCAAAGGGTGAAAACATAGTGACGGTACTTCCCCCAAGTACTCTACTGGAAATAAAGACTAAGGACATATACAGCTCAAGATGGGCTCCATCAACAAAGGAAGTTACTAATGAAAATAAAGAAAAGAAAAAAGATAAAATTGGTCTGACAGTATGGGATATCCCAACATTCACTAGAGCAGCGCAACTAAAAAGAGCTCTAGCTTTTATGGAAGAGTGACTATTCTCGGAGCGATGGCATGCGGTAGAACTAAGGCACTCTAGCATCAGGAAATTTTATATATAGATATTGATCGATATATAACAGTTAATTGTTTTATATCGATTAAAAAATAACGATATCTATTGATTAACTGGCTAAAAATCGATATATATCTAAATCGATATATATCATTTTTTATATTAAATTGTTATATATCTACTAATCGATTATAATCTGAATTATTTAAAACAATATATAACGATTAACAGATCTTTAACGATTATACAGTGTTTTGATATATAACGATTAACAGATCTTTAACGATTACACAGTGTTTTGACCACGTTACAAAAATTTTATCCAGATCGCTGGGTAAAAAAAAAAATAATAATAAATAAAATTTCAAAAAAAAGTAGGTTAAAAATAAAGAGAAAAACAAAGTAAAGAAAACTGGCATAGGAAAA